TTATTATTGCATATTTGTATATTTTAATTGCAGTGTTTTTGCTACTGATAATATATCATAATACATCACGATATACTGCTATATTATTGCATATTTGTATATTTTAATTGCAATGTTTTTGCTACTGATAATATATCATAATACGTCATGATATATTGCTTTATTATTGCATATTTGTGTATTTTAATATCAATGTTTTTGATTGTGAGCCGCTTTGAGTTTCCATATGGAAAGATGAAGCATGATTTAAATAAAATCAATCAATAAATAATCATAATAATAGTGGTCTCTTTCAACTCTAGGATTCCATAATAATAATAATAATAATAATAATAATAATAATAATAATGGTCTCTTTCAACTCTAGGATTCTATCATAATAATAATAATAATAATAATATTAATAATAATAATAATAATAATGATATCCAATACAACAGCCAGCAGAGTGATCTTGTCTGCTGTGAACTCATCTTGTTCTGTTTCTAATAATAATAATAATAATAATAATAATAATAATAATAATAATAATGGTCTCTTCCAACTCTAGGTAAGGTAAAGGTTTCACCCTGACATTAAGTCCAGTCGTGTCTGACCCTGAAGGTTGGTGCTCATCTCCATTTCTAAGCCGAAGAGCCGGCATTATCCATAGACAACTCCAAGGCCATGTGGCCGGCATGACTACATGACTACATGGAGCACCGTTACCTTCCACCAGAGCGGTATCTATTGATCTACTCACATTTGCATGTTTTCGAACTGCTAGGTTGGCAGAAGCTGGGGCTAACAACAGGTGCTCCCCGGATTCGAACCTGTGACTTTTCGATCAGCAAGTTCAGTAGCTCAGTGGTTTAACCCACTGCTTCACAGGGACTCCAACTCCAGGATTCTATAATAATAATAATAATAATAATAATAATAATAATAATAATAGTCTCTTCCAACTGTAGGATTCCATAATAATAATAATAATAATAATAATAATAATAATAATAATAATAATGGTCTCTTTCAACTCTAGGATTCCATAATCATAATAATGATGGTCTCTTCCAAGTTTAGGATTCTATAATAATAATAATAATAATAATAATAGTCTCTTCCAGCTCCAGTATTCAATAATAATGATAATAACAATAATAATAATACCTGCAAAGATAGGGGAAAATGAACACTGTGGGACTTTCGAATCCAGACTGACAAAGTTTTGGAACAGAATACACCAGACATCACAATTGTGGAAAAGAAAAAAGTTTGGATTATTGATGTTGCCATACCAGGTGACAGTCGCATTGAGGAAAAATAAGAGGAAAAACTTAACAGGATCTCAAAATCGAACTGCAAAGGCTCTGGCATAAACCAGTACAGGTGGTCCCAGTGGTAATGGGTGCACTGGGTGCTGTGCCAAAAGATCTCAGCTGGCATTTGGAAAAAATACACATTGACAAAATCACGATCTGTCAACTGCAAAAGGCCACCTTACTTGGATCTGTGCGCATCATTCGAAAATACATCACAGAGTCCTAGACGCTTGGGAAGTGTTCGTCATTTTGTGATACATATAGATCTCGTTTGCTGTGACATACTGTGTTTTTGTGTCAGAATAATAATAATAATAATAATAATAATAATAGTAATAATAGTGTGCTCTTGTGTCAGTAAAATATAATTCATCATAATTCATGATTATGATGATGATGGAGTCTCCTCTGGAGGTTTTGAAGCAAATCGCCATCTGTTGGGAGGGCTTGGATTGGTTATTTCTGAATAGCAGAAGGGGATAGGCCTGGATGGCCTTCGATACTTTATGTTTCTGTGATTCTAAGAGGGAACTGGCCTCTTCCCTGCAGACAGGAAGTAAAAAAATATCTTGAGGTCCATAGGACTAGGAAACAAACGTGACTTGATATATACCCATATTGACTTTGAGTCTTGTGCAGCATTGAATCTAATGCACATCCTCATTTTCATAACCCTGAAACAAAAAAAAAGAATTTACTGGGCAACGTAAAGCAGCATAAAGTGCCAGGCAGGAAGACCACAATGTCCAATCCCTCCTGACAGGTAGCTATGCAGATTCTGCTTAATAATTGTAATAGAATCATAGGTTGGAAGGGACCTCCAAAAACCATCCAGTCCAACCCCCTTCTGCCAGGCAGGAAGACCAAAACCCAATCCCTTCTGACAGATGGCTATCCATCCAGCCATTCCAGATGCAGCTCTGGAAGCAGCTTCCTCTTTTGCTTTGGCTCAAAAGAAGAAGGAGGAGGAGGACGAGGACGACAACTTCTTTATTTTTCTATCCCGCCTCCATATCCGCGAAGGGACTCGGGGCAGCTTACATGGGGCCCAAGCCCAAGGCAGAATACAATTAAAAACAAAGCAAAAACAATTAAGACAGCATAAAACAATCTAAAACAACATAACAATAATAGCTAGCGACAACAATAACAGCAGACAAATTTTGGAGGAGGTGACCGTATGATGCAATGTCAACTCTCATTTTGGCGAGGTCATTTAGCCCCAAATGTGAGCATTATTAGATTCCAGTAAAAAGAGGGTATGAGTGTTGGGGTCATTGTCTGTGCTTTCTTTCCGCAGGATGAGCCCCAGCGCGGCGCTGCAGGAGGAGTACGGTCGCTGCCTGGAGAGGGACTTCCGCCGCGGCCACACTGGCGTCTGCGCTGACCAGTCCCTCAAGGAGCTTCTGTGGCACCACTTGCTGGCTGATCCTGACCTTCATCAGGCCCTTCGGGGGGAGGACACTTTGGCCACGTTGGCCACCGCCCTCCGCGGGCACCTGGACCTCGGGGCCGCCCTCCGGAACCTGGCCAAGGCCTTCGAGGTGCTGGAGATGGCGGCCATCAACCTCTACTTCTTCCCTTGGCGGAAGGAGTTCGGTACCATCAAAGTAAGTGAGTGTATGTGTGTGTGTGTGTGTGTGGGGGGGGGCTATAGATCCAGTAAATAAAATACATGCTGCTATTATTATATTTATACCCCACTTCCATATCTTCACTGAGACATGAAGCAGCTCACAGTCTAAAAATATACAATGCAATTTAAAAGCCATAACTTACACAATGTAGGTTATACATCTAATGAATAAACAAGCAATTTAAAAGCCATAACTTATAAATAGCATAATATTGGGTGAGTGGGCTTAGTAACAAAAGACCCTCCTCATAAATGTACAGAAGAGTAACTTATTAGCAGCAGTGTGACCCAGTAACAGTAGTCAAAAGTGATAAAAAGAACAAAAACACACAGACCAATGTTATCTCTTTCTTAGGAGGCTTTTCTTTATAGCAAAATAATACAATTGTTAAGGAAAACAAGGTTTCCTTAACACAAATAAAGTTCTTTATACTTCCTTCTTTGCTTCCATGCTGGGCTTCTTTTTCATGCAGATGAACAGCTTTGCTCTCACACAACCTCTCGCACCGAACTTATACAGGTGCTTCACACAGTAGCTCTACACACAGCAGCCTTCACATTGGAGCTTCACACACAATAGCCTTTAACTTGGAGCTTTTCTCACTAAAGCTTCTCACATACTGAGGCCTACTAACACATTGAGGTCTATCTCACACTGAGGCCTACCTCACACTGAGGCCTTCTCACACTGAGGGCTACCTCAGACAAACCTCTCACAGACTGGGGGCTACTAAGCTACAGGCACACCAGCTTATGTTGAACTACAGCTTTTGCTGAGTCGTTGTATTCATTTAACCCTTTCATTGCTTGACTCACATTTTTGTAATTAAATACCTAGTTAATTTTTAATATTACTGATATTCTTCTCATCATCATATTAATTTATATTCCACTTTTGACTGAGATACAAAGCAGTACGCAAGAGACTAAACAAAAAATCTACAACATGTGTATGTATGTATATGTGTGTGTATGTGTGTATTAAAATAATGAGGTATCAAGTCCAACAAAAACATAAGCAATTTGCTGATATTGTTATTGTTATATTTATATCCCACTTTCATCCCTTCACTGGATGACAGCATTAAAAAGAATACTACAATTTAAAAGCCATAACTTACAAATATTATAATAGTAGGATATACATCCAATAAATAAACAAACAGTTTACTAGTCTTCTTCTTCCTCTTCTTATATTTATTTATATTCTCCTTTGCATCAAACAAAAGAAAAAAATTGCAACATGTGCATGTATGTATATGTATGTGTATTAAAATCATGGGATATTAAATCCAATAAATACACATTATTATTATTATTATTATTATTATTATTATTATTATTATTATTATATTATTATTACTACTACTACTACTACTACTAGCCGTCCCGTCACGCGTTGCTGTGGCCCACATGGGGGTTTGGCCCAATTGTATCATTGGTGGGGTTCAGAATGCTCTGTGACTCTAGGTGAACTATAAATCCTAGCAACTGTAACTCCCAAATGTTAAGATTCTATTTCCTCCAAACTCCACCAGTGTTCACATTTGGGCATATTGAGTATTCTTGTAGAGTTTGGTCAAGATCCATCATTGTTTGAGTCCACAGTGATCTCTGAATGTAGGTGAACTACAACTCCAAAACCAAAGGACACTGCCCTCCAAACCCTTCCAGTATTTTCTGTTGGTCATGGGAGAACTGTGTGCCAAGTTTGGTTCAATCCCATCGTTGGTGGGGTTCAGAATGCTCTTTGATTGTAGGTGAACTATAAATCCCAGCAACTACAAATCCCAAATGACAAAATCAATTTTTTTTAGTGAAGGACATACATTGGGTTGTTAGGTGTCTTGTGTCCAAATTTGGTGTCAATTCGTCCAGTGGTTGTCGAATTCTGTTAATCCCACAAACGAATATTACATTTTTATTTATATAGATGATGATGATGATGATTATTATTATTATCCTGCTTTTATCTCATATGTGAGACACACAGAGGTTCACGACCTTACAGAATCCAATGCAATTTAAAATGGTAGTTTGGGGACTCCGGCTTAGAGAGACCATCTGTGGTTGGAAAGGGTGGCATTTCGAGCTCTAATGGGGAGACCTCCTCTCTTTCTGCAGACCTTTTCCGGCGTCTACGTCCATGTCCTGCAAGGCATCCTGCCGGAGGCTGACTTGGCTCGGAGCTTCCGCCGCTTGGGTTACATCCCGCGGGACGGCCTCCGCCTAGCCCTAGCTCAGCTCCCTCCAGGGCCTGCCCTGCTCGGGGCCGCTTGTGGCTTCTTCGCCGCCCGTGTGGAGTGCGAGATCCTGGGGAAGATGGTGCAGGAGCTGGAGCCGTGCCTCCCGTCGCCTGAGGACCTTCTCAGGGCCCGGAGGGAATCCGCTGGCAGTTTGGAAGCCTGCGTGGCCAAGCTCCGAAGCCTAGTGCGACGGCCGGCAGGGAAGGGGGCCCCCCCGGAACCCCCTGAAGGGGTTGACCTCTACCAGGAAGGTCCTGAAGTGCCCCTTGCAAGTGGGCGACTGGCCCCACTGCCCCTCTGCGAACGTGGTGCAACCAGGGGCCCCTGGGAGCAGCAGCCATGGAGTCCACCACTGGAGGACAGGAACAAGGTACGGGAGGCAAAGGAGGGTTATCTGGTATCTATAGCAATGAACGTGTGCTGGATCCTTAATCTAGAGGAATATCAGGTAGCTTATTTTATTTATTGTGTCAGGAGGAACCAGATAGTTGTATTACATTTTTAACAAAACAAACAGACAAAGCACAAAGTTTGCAAGCTTGGTAGTTGATTAAATGTCCTTTGTCCAGTATTATTGTTTATTAAAATTGCATTATTTTAATTTTATGCTATATGTTTTGACAATGATTGATGTTATAATTTTATGTGACTTGTTTTATACTTATGTACCATTTTTATTTATTTATTTATTTACTATATATGTGTACCACTCTTCTCAGCCCTCGGGCGACTCAGAGCAGTTCACAATAGCAAAATTCAATGCTTAAAACATCATAAAACAGTTAAAAACAATTAAAACAACAGCATTATAACAATCAATTAAACATCATAACATCTCATTATCGTCTCACAGTTAAAATGAAGACCCAGTCTCAATATCCAATTGTTCCATATTCCTATATTCATTACACTGCCTATTCAAATGCCTGCTCGAACAACCAGGTCTTCACTTTCCTCCGAAATGCTAACAGGGAGGGGGTGAATCTAATTTCTGTAGGAAGGGCGTTCCACAGCCGAGGGACCACCACTGAAAAGGCCCTGTCTCTCGTCCCCGCCAGACATACTTGTGATGCAGGTGGGACCGAGAGCAGGGCCTCCCCAGACAATCTTAATGTCCTAGCTGGTTCATAGGAGGAGATTCATTTGGACATTTTTACCTGTTCTATGTTATATATGCACCCTGGAGTGCCTTTGTAAGCCCCCCCCCCCACCCAAGTCCCTTCAGGGAGATGGTGGCGGGATATAAATAAAGTTTATTAGGTTTGGGGGGTTTTTTTTTTGTTTTTTTGTCGTGTCAGGAGCGACTTGAGAAACTGCAAGTTGCTTCTGTTGTGAGAGAATTGGCCGTCTGCAAGGGCGTTGCCCAGGGGACGCCCGGATGATTTGATGTTTTATCATCCTTGTGGGAGGCTTCTCTCATATCCCCGCATGAGGAGCTGGAGCTGATAGAGGGAGCTCATCCGCCTCTCCCCGGATTCGAACCTGCGACCTGTCGGTTTTCAGTCCTGCCGGCACAGGGCTTTAACCCACTGCGCCACCGGGGGCTCCAATTATATTGTAGTAACATATTGTATCATATCTTGCTGTGTGTGTCATATATTTGCAGAAAAGTTACTTCTTCTCTTCCAGCAGGGAGACTTGGAGGAGTCCTACGGCAACGGCATCCCGGACCCCGAGGATCCCTCCCTGGAGACGGCCTTCTCCTTCATCTCCTTGCGGCGGGAGCTCAGCCGGGCGGCAGAGACAGACTCCTCCGCGCAGCCTTTGAGCCGGTTCCTGCCGCCGGGCGCCCCCTTTGAGAGCACCAGCTTCCAAGGAATGAGCGACCTGGCCTCCCCCCCATCGAGGCCGCCCCGGAGCCCCCAGCTCAGCCCCCTTGTCGCACGCCGGCCCCAGCCCCTGGGTGCCGGCCCTCCTTGCTACCACTTGCATTCATGCCTCTTCCCTGGAGCCCTGCCAGCCTCCTGCTGCAACACCTGCCGCTCGCTGCACGGCTCTGGCTGTGATATTGCCCAGCTCTGCCGGGAGAAGAGCCACGACCTGGAGGAGCTGCAGACCATGAAGCAGCAGCGGCTCTGGCTGCAGAGGACTGAGGTGGACAAACTGCTGCATGATGGAGGAGGAGGAGGGCCCTGGCAGTAGCAGGTGCCCATCCAACTGTGGTGACCTTTCTGCCGCTTGGCCGTTCCAGGGCTATGCGTTCGTGCACAAAGGATGCCTCTTCCCCTTCCCCTGTGGACTACTTCTTACAAGGGGAAATACTCCAACCAGCACTTGGAAATATTTGGGATGCTACAACTCCCAGATTCCCACATCAGGGACTCTGGAGGCTGTAGTTTGTGTTCAAATGTGCCTCAGCTCCACCATAGACAACACGCACAATTTGGGGAGCATCTCTCTCAAAATACGGCAAGGCCTTAATGGTTCTTGGACACTGAGAATCGACTGGGATTCTAAGGTGTTTACATCCTCTAGTTACATTTGTGGGAGAGGTCATGCCTGGTTATTGGCCTCAGTGACAAATTTGCCAAAGATGACTCCAGTAGGTCAAAGAGGTTGGTTTTGGGGTCAAGGAGGAGACAATCCTATTTGCAGTATCATCGGGACATGCCTGGGAATAGTTTGGCTGAACAGGCTTCTCTTCCTTGAGTCCACCCCAGAGGTCAGTAAAATGTTGTCCAACTCCCAGAATCTCCCACTGGGACATACAGTCACGTTTTCTAATCTGTGCTCCACCTCTTTGAAATTCCAAAGACTGGTTACTTCCCCGATCCCCATTTTGAGGAAAGGGCTTGGGCAAAGAGGCTTGGCTTCCCTTTTTTAATTCATACATGCTCCGGGCTTCTTGAGCCTCCCTTTTGGGGTGAGCGGGGACAGGGTTCCTTTCCAAACCAGCACTTGATGGTCCGGCCCTTGAGGCAGGTCAGGACTCATATTGCCATCCAAGACTGGGCTGTGTCCAAGCACATGCGCCGCAGCCGTCACCTCTTTGGAGCTTAATTTGAAATAAACAAAGTAAAAGCCTGCCTGGTTTCTTGGGTGTTCCACTCTTCCTTCTCTCTCCGCAGGCTGAAAATTTTATTTATTTATTTACAGTATTTATATTCCGCCCTTCCCACCCTGCAGGGGACTTAGGGCGGATTACAATGTACATGGCAAACATTCAATGCATAGACATGCAACATATATAGACAGACATAGAGGCAATTTAACTTTTCATGAGGGTATTTTGGCCACCAGGGGAAGCTGTTACTTCTCCGTCCATTTGTGACACTGATTAAGTACTTCCTCATTCTTTGCAGGCTTGCTGGAGATTTTTATGGCATCATAAATTAGTTAAATTAGCCTCCCCACATAAGTGGTACTTACATTTCCTACTTGACAGATGCAACTGTCTTTCGGGTTGCAAAGGTCGACAGCAAGCTACACAAATTGGTGAGACACTCACTCTGACCCAGGCTGGCTTCAAACTCATGACCTTTCAGTCAGTAGTGATCTTAATAAACTGATTCCCAGCCAGCTGCGCCACAGTCCCGGTGCTGAAAAATGGCTTTCACTGGGAAGCTGGAAGGCACTTGGCCGGAATCATAGCTCAAGAATATAGAGCCCTTGCTTCACTTGCCATAGGCTCAAGCCTACATATTTCTGGTTGGAGTTTTTATGTAGGTATCTATTTGTGTGTGTAGGTTTTCTACAAACCCCACCGCCTCCAAGGTGAACTGAACCCCAGGCAGTAAGCAGCCAGACCTTGAAGCTGCAATTAATAATAATAATAATAATAATAATAATAATAATAATAATAATAAAAACTTTATTTATATACTGCCCTATCTTCCCTAAGGGACTCAGAGCAGTTTCCACATATACATATCCACTCAATTCCAGGACCAATTAAAGGACTATAAAAAAGGTATGGGCTTGAAGAAAAGGTGCTCTCTTATGACAGGGAACTGGGGAATGGATGGGGTACAAGGCAAAGTCTAATTGTTGAACCAAGGGTTTGAAACTTAAGACTAATCATTATCGAAGGCCTGACAAAACCACCAATAATAATAATAATAATAATAATACTTTATTTATACCCCGCTCCATCTCCCCCAGGGGGACTCAGTGCAGCTTACACCAAGTCTTCAAGTTCTTATGGAAGGAGGTGAGGGATGGGGCCAGTCTTATCTCCTTGGGGAGAGCATTCCAAAGGCAGGGGGCCACCACCAAGAAGGCCCTCTCCCTCGTCCCCACCAACCAGGCTTGAGACGGTGGTGGGAGTGACAGGAGGGCCTCCCCGGTGGATCTTAGTGTTTGCGCCAGTTCATAGAGGGAGAAGCGATCGCGGACATAGGCGGGGCACGAACCGCAAGGCCATTAAATACTAATTAAGGTGGTCAATTGCAACATTTACACCTGCCTCAAACAGACAGTTATTTCTCCCACCCTGGACATTATTCCACAGCTATATAAACCTCACTCGCTTAGTTTCGAACAGACCTCACAATCTCTGAGGATGCCTGCCATAGATGCAGGCGAAACATCAGGAGAGAATACTTCTGGAACGTGGCCATACAGCCCCAAAAACTCACAGCAACCCAATTATTCTGGCCATGAAAGCCTTCAACAATACATTAAGAATAGCTTTGGCTTTGACACAAAAATGCAACGGTGGCAAGGATACAGGCAGTTTGGAAGGAAGGCCCTCTCTTTTGCTTCCTACGCCAGTGCTCCCTTTGGCAAGTGCAAATGGTTCAGAATCCTTTTTCGTCACAAGCAGAGAGGGAAGCTCTCAGCATAGAGAAAGGCAGCAGCGTCATCAGTGGAGTGTTGCTAGGCTGCAGTGCCGGCAGCAAAGCCGTGAATCATACATAGAAGAGGCTCCCAGTTCCAAGCCCCACTCATCCGGGGGCAGTTGGCACCGAAAAGCCAACGAAGCACTCAGACCATCTTCCTGGCCCATTTGCTAAAGAAGACCAGAAAACAAGCCAAGTAGCAAAGGCAAGGATAGAAAAGTAGGAAGTGGGCAGGGCTGCAAGGGAGTCCTAGACATGCAGAAGGGGCTGGTTAGAAGCAGATATAGCTTGTCTCCCAGGTATCAAGAATACATATATACATGTGTGTGTATGTGTGTGTGTATGTATGTGTGTGTGTGTATGTATATATGTATGTATGTGTGTGTGTGTGTGTGTGTGTGTGTGTGTGTGTATATATATATATATATATATACACACATACATACATACATACTTGCAGCAAGCAAGCATTGTGTGTGCAGCATGCTTTCCATTAGCAGGGAACAACAAATGCCAATGTTCAAGTCACATTCCAGAAGACAGGAGCAGAATTCAAAACAATCTTAACAGATTAGAGAGATGACTGGCCAAAACTAACAAAATGAAGTTCAATGGGGACAAATGAAAGATACTCCACTTAGCAAAAAAAAAAAAAAAATGAAATGCAGATACAGAATGGGGGATGCATGACTCGAGCGCAGTACGTGTGAAAAAATCTTGGGAGCCTCGTGGACAAGTTAAACATGAACCAACAATGTGATGCGGCGGCAAAAAAAAGCCAACAGGATTTTGGCCTGCATCAATAGGAATCTAGTGTCTAGATCCAGGGAAATCATGCTCCCCATGCTCTATTCTGCCTTGGTTAGACCACACCTGGAATATTGTGTCCAATTCTGGGCACCACAATTGAAGAGAGATATTGACAAGCTGGAACGTGTCCAGAGGAGGGCGACTAAAATGATCAAGGGTCTGGAGAACAAGCCCTATGAGGAGCGGCTTAAAGAGCTGGGCATGTTTAGCCTGAAGAAGAGAAAGCTGAGAGGAGACATGATGAATGCCATGTATAAATATGTGAGAGGAAGTCATAGGGAGGAGGGAGCAGGTTTGTTTTCTGCTGCCCTGGAAACTAGGACGCGGAACAATGGCTTCAAACTACAGGAAAGGAGATTCCATCTGAACATTAGGAACTCCAACTCTATGATTCTATGCTTCTAAGTCTAGGTCTCATAGAGACCAATGTTGAAACCACTGCACCACACAATTGGACTTTCTTGGCAAGAATTGGTCATAGGTTTGTCAAAAGTAACATCAGGTTCCTGTTAGGGCCGCTCACTGGGCCTCCGCGGCCAAGCAGGGATTCCAGCCCTGATCTTCCTGGTTCTCAGTCCAACACACATGAACTCATCACATGATGCTGGCTCATATAAGAGTATAGGGCCTTACTAGCAACCCCAGGTGTTACTTTGCAGACTGGCTGAGGGATTCTGGGAGCTGTAGACTGGATAACTTTGCCAGGCTCTGCAAATGCTACATCCCTGCTGCTCCATGACCACCAACTGCCTTGTAAGAAAGAGGAATCAGAATCATAAATCTGGGCCATCCAGTCCAACCCCATTCTGCCAAGAAGCAGGAAAATTGCATTCAAAGCACCCCCGACAGATAGCCATCCAGCCTCTGCTTAAAAGCGTCCAGAAAAGGAGCCTCCACCACACTTCAGCGCAGAGAGTTCCACTGCTGAATGGCTCTCACAGTCAGGAAGTTCTTCCTCATGTTCAGGTGGAATCTCTTTTCCTTTAGTTTGAAGCCATTGCCCGACTGTATCCTAATTAGTCTCCAGGGCAGCAGAAAACAAGCTTGCTTCCTTCCCCCTGTGACTTCCCCTCACATATTTATACATGGCTCTCATCACGCTTTCTCTCAGCCTTCTCTTCTTCAGGCTAAACATGCCCAGCTCTTTAAGCTGCTCCTCATAGGGCTTGTTCTCCAGACCCTTGATCCTTTGAGTCGCCCTCTTTCTCTGGACACATTCCAGCTTAGAGTCAACAGTGTGATTCCAGGTAAAGTGGTCTGACAATAGAGCATGGGGAGCATGACTTCCCTGGATCTAAGCACTAGACTCCTATTGATGCAGGCCAAAATCCCATTGGCTTGTTTAGCTGCTGCACATCACTGTTGGCTCATGTTTAACTTCTTGTCCAAGAAGACTTGGGCAATGTTTTCTTGCAGGACGACACTTTTCATAGAATCCTAGAGTTGGAAGATACCTCATGGGCCATCCAGTCCAACCCCATTCTGTCAAGAAGCCTGAAAATTGCATTCAAAGCACCCCCGACAGATGGCCATCCAGCCTCTATTTAAAAGCTTCCAAAGAAGGAGCCTCCACCACACTCCGAGGCAGAGAGTTCCACTGCTGAATGGCTGATATGCATTTTCACCCTGATATGCATTTAAATTTGAGAATAACCCTGTTGTATAAAACATACTTTCTTTATTCCAATGGTCCCATCCAGAGAGGCGCCAATTGTGTAGTCCTTTCTCCTTGAAATCTCCCAAAGTGTCCTAACTGGTCCAGGAACCTAAATTGTCACTATTTTCAGGAGGAATGGTGGCATTTTGGGGGAGATCCGGGTACGTTCTCTTGCAGAGAAACCATGCCACTTTCCGCCCATGGTAAGTGTCCACTGCCTACTTCGGCTGGCGTCACTCTCCTTATGGCCGGCTGCGCTTGGGCCCTGCGCATTCTGCCCCTGCGACACTTGGGGCAGCCCTTTTGTTGCGATGGTGAGGGAAGGTGGGCATGAGCTCCGGTTCACATGCTGAAAGGAAGAAGAAGAGGGGCAACAGGAAAATTTGGGGAGGAAATGGGGAGCCCCTTGAAAAGGAAATCAGGTGGGGAAAGACTTACGCAAAGGCTTCTCCTTGAAGTAGGAGCTCTCCAGACAGTCGCCGGCTGTCGCTCTGTGCCAGAAAGCGAAACAACACAATTAATTAATCATCTTTCTCTCAATCCAAGCAGAGTTTGGAACTAGTTGAGAACCACTCTAATAATGAAGAAGTAAAGCAATTATGAGGGTTGAATGAAAAGTAATGCCTCCACCTTCTTTACTTGGGTTTGGATGGGAATCTATATAAACAGAGGCTGCCAAGGTCTTCATTAGGAAAGCCAGCCTTTAGGACCGCCTTGTCTTGCTGTTACCTCTTCTTGGGGTCATACATGAAGAGGAAGTTGAGGAGCCGGAGCCCGGCCTCCGAGAGCCATGGAAACTTATGCTTCAGGTTGTTGTAGGGCTGCTTCCGGAGCGTATATTGGCTCACCAGCGGCAGCTTGGAGAAGCCCTGGAAGGGGAAGGAACACAAGTCAGTATGATGTTCTCCTCTCACAGCCATCAAGGGTGCATCTAGAATCATAGAGTTGGAAGAGACCTCGTGGGCCATCCAGTCCAACCCCATTCTGTCAAGAAGCAGGACAATTGCATTCAAATCACCCCCGACAGATGGGCCATCCAAAGCTTCCAAAGACGGTGCCTCTACCACACTCCAGGACAGTGAGTTCCACTGCTGAACAGCTCTCACAGTCAGGAAGTTCTTCCTCATGTTCAGATGGAATCTCCTTTTTTGTAGTTTGAAGCCATTGTTCCGTGTCCTAGTCTCCAGGGCAGCAGAAAACAAGCTTGCTCCCTCCTCCCTATGACTTCCTCTCACATATTTATACATGGCTATCATATGTCTCCTCTCAGCCTTCTCTTCTTCAGGCTAAACATGCCCAGCTCCTTAAGCCGCTCCTCATAGGGCTTGTTCTCCAGACCCTTGATCATTTTAGTCACCCTCCTCTGGATACATTCCAGCTTGTCAATATCGCTCTTGAATTGTGGTGCCCAGAATTGGACACAATATTCCAGGTGTGGTCTAACCAAGGCAGAATAGAGCATGGGTAGCATTACTTCCCTAGATCAAGACACTATGCTCCTATTGATGCAGGTCAAAATCCCATTGGCTTTTTTTGCCGCCACATCACATTGTTGGCTCATGTTTAACTTGTTGTCCACGAGGACTCCAAGATCATTTTCACACGTCCTGCTCTCAAGCCAGGCGTCCCCCATTCTGTATCTTTGCATTTCATCTACACAGAAGGATTAATATAGTTTAACTCCACTTGTAACTGTTGTAATGCAATACTATGGGATCCTGGGAGTTGTAGTTTGGTGAGGCACCCAGTCCTCTTTGACAGAGGAAGCTAAACCACAACTCCCATGATTCTATAACATTGAACCTTGGAATGTACAGTAGTGTCAAACTGCATTAATTCTGCGGTGTAGCTGCATCCCAAATGGTTGCCAATACAAAGCCTCTCTAGAACCTATTATTTTGGCTCTGAAATTGGCCCAATAGACTTAAAACTGGTCACAAATACAGCAGTCACAGTTCTCCATCCACTCACTACTTAAACAGGCCTCTCACACACTGAGGCCTACCTCACACTAAGGCCTTTCTCCCACTGAGGAGAACTTATTTATTTATTTATTTATTTGAAACTTTTGTGCCCCGTTCTTCTCTGACATCCGTGGAAGGACTCAGAACGGCTCACAGCAAGGATTCAATGCTAACAATAAAACCATTTAAAACATGATACATAACAATAGGTTAAAATACAAATGAGATAAAATACATATACAACCAATTCGCCAAGATAAAAACAACATCCAACTCAGTCCGCACATTGTGGTCAATACTTTAGTCATTTACTGGTCTCAGCCATCACTCTGCAAATGCCTCATTCCACAGCCAAGATTTCACTTGCTTCCTAAAGCTCAGGAGGGAGGGGGCCGATCTAACTTTGAGTTGTTGTAGGTTTTTCCGGGTTATATGGCCATGTTCTAGAGGCATTTTCTCCTGACGTTTCGCCTGCATCTATGGCAAGCATCCTCAGAGGTAGTGAGGTCTGTTGGAAGTAGGTAAATGGGTTTATATATCTGTGGCATGACCAGGGTGGGACAAAGGACTCTTGTCTGCTGGAGCTAGGTGTGAATGTTTCAACTGACCACCTTAATTAGCATTTGACGGCTTGGCAGTGCCTGGGGGAATCTTTTGTTGAGAGGTGATTAGATGTGCCTGATTGTTTACTCTCTGATGTTTTGATGTTGTAATTTTAGAGTTTTTTAATATTGGTAGCCAGATTTTGTTCATTTTCATGGTTTCCTCCTTTCTGTTGAAATTGTTTGGGAGAGAAAGATCTAACTTTGTTTGGGAGAGAGTACCATAGCTGGGGAGGCACCACAGAGAAGGCCCTGTCTCTCATCCCCACCAGACGTGACTACGAAGGTGGGGGGACCGAGAGCAGGGCCCCTCCAGAAGATCTTAACACCCTGATGGTTTGTCGGACAGGTAAACTAACACTGAGGCCTACTCATACTGAGGCCCTTCTTCCACAGAGACCTCTCACAGACTGAGGCGAACTAACACTGAGGGCTCCCTCAGACTGAGGCCTACTAAGCTACAAACACACCTGCTTATATTGAACTGCATTCATTTAACCCTTTCAATGCTTAACTCACATTTTTGTAATTAAAAATACCTAGTTAATTTTTAATATTTCTGACATAACTCACAGGCCAAATGGTCTCGTTGGGAGTGCCGAGGAGCTGGACAATCATGTCGATCTGCTGGATCTCGGAGCTGCCAGGGAGAAGGGGCTTGTGGGCCAGAAGTTCGGCCAGAATGCAGCCCACTGCCCTGAAGGGATAAAATGCAAGCGTCAATGCCCAAAAGATCCAATTGCAACAATGGCACCCCACTCCCTGCCCCCAGACATTGGCCAGAATCCTGTTGTATACACACAATAATTGCATTGGCATTTATCCTTCCCAATCTTGGCACATACATGTACATAACGTTTGTGGATTTGGTTATTTACAGATTTGATTAATACACTCCCTTTTGGAATCTCTAGGACCTCCCCGGGCAACTACAATGATATTAATAGGCGGCCGCAATTGAAATGCCAAGTCCTAACTTTTTAAGTGTTTAGGAATTAGGAAGCCTTTGACTCCCAGGACCCTCTTTCTTCAATCCTCTCCCAGAGTTTAAAGTATTGAGGTCTCCCTTCAGATCCTCCTCAAAGCCTTGCCAAGGAAGGAGCTGCAGTATTCAAATTTGGGCGTATTGAGTATTTGTGCCAAGTTTGGTCCAGTGAATGAAAATACATCCTGCATATCAGATATTTACATTCCGATTCATAACGGTAACAAAACTACAGTTATGAAGTAGCAACGAAAATAATGTTATGGCTGGGGGTCACCACAACATTAGAACTGTGTTAAGGGGTTGCGGCATTAGGAAGGTTGAGAAACACTGCTTTAAAGTATCGAGGTCTCCCTTCAGACCCTCTTCAAAGTTTTGCCAAGGAATGAGCTGCATTGGCCACCACCTTTTCCAACCAAAAACACTAAAAGAAAGATGGAAATGTTTTCCTTACCACATATCTATGGCGGTGGTCTGCGTTGTCGTCCCCAGGAGGAGTTCAGGAGCTCGGTACCTAAAAAGGGGGAGAAGCTGTGCATTATTAACATCATCATCATCGTCGTCGTCATCTTGTTATTGTTGTTGTTGTTGTTGTTGTGTGTCTTCAAGTCATTGTTGACTTATACCAAACCCAAAGCGATCCTATTACAGAGAAAGTAGTAGTAGTAGTAGTAGTAGTAGTAGTAGTAATAATAAAGACCTTGGCCTGCACTTGAACACAATTGGAGCTGACAAGATTACCATCTGCCAGCTGCAAAAGGCCACCTTACTGGGATTTGCACGCATTATTCGTCAGTACATCACACAGTCCTAGACACTTGGGAAGTGTTCGACGTGTGATCCAATGCAGCAGCCGGCAGAGTGTCTGCTGTGGACTCATCTTGTTGTGTTTCAAATAATAATAATAATAGCACAATACACCACAATACACAATACACCAGACATCATGACTGTGGAAAAGAAAAAAGTCTGGATTATTGATGTCACCATACCAAGTGACAGCTGCATTGAGGAAAAACAACAGGAAAAACTCAGCCACTATCAAGACCTCAAAATCGAACTGCAAAGGCTCTGTCATAAACCAGTCCAGGTGGTCCCAGTGGTCATTGGCACACTGGGTTTTTTTTTTTGGTTTTTTTGTCATGTCAGGAGTCGCTCCTGTTGTGAGAGAATTGGCAGTCTGCAAGGACGTTGCCCAGGGGATGCCCAGATGATTTGATGTTTTTATCATCCTTGTGGGAGGCTTCTCTCTTGTCCCCGCATGAGGAGCTGGAGCTGATAGAGGGAGCTCATCTGCCTCTCCCCGGATTCGAAACTGCGACCTGTCGGTCTTCAATCCTGCCAGCTCAGGGCTTTAACCCACTGCGCCACCGGGGGCTCTGGCACACTGGATGCCGTGCCAAAAGATCTCAGCTGGCATTTGGAAACAATAAACATTGACAAAATCACAATCTGTCAACTGCAAAAGGCCACCTGACTTGGATCAGTGCGCATCATTCGAAAATAAGGAGCCCCCGGTGGTGCAGTGGGTTAAACCCCTGTGCCGGCAGGACTGAAGACCGACAGGTCGCAGGTTCGAATCCAGGGAGAGGCGGATGAGCTCCCTCTATCAGCTCCAGCTCCTCATGCGGGGACATGAGAGAAGCCTCCCACAAGGATGACAAAAACATCAGTTCATCCGGGCATCCCCTGGGAAACTTCCTTGCAGACGGCCAATTCTCTCACACCAGAAGCGACTTGCAGTTTCTCAAGTCGCTCCTGACACGACACGACCAAAAAATTCGAAAATACATCACACAGTCCTAGACGCTTGGGAAGTGTTTGACTTGAGATTTTGTGATACGAAATCCAACATACAGATATCGTTTGCTGTGACATACTGCGCTTTTGTGTCAATAATAATAATAATTATTATTATTATTATTTATATCCGGCTTTTCTCCCTCACGGGACCCAAATTATCAGTTAAATTTCAATTCATATATTGTATAGGTTTAAAATGTTCATGCTGTTAGCTGTGAAAACAGTTAATTTTTTGAACATTTTGAAGCATGTGAGGAACGGACAAGGATGATGTTGCAATAGACTAGGAGGTCAGACACTGAATTAATGAGCTGATAACAGTAGGTTAGAAATATAGCAGATGCTATTTGTTCTTTCTCTTTGCTCTTCTCCCTTGCATCTGACCGAGCTAATGAGTAAGTGTTATTGCAATGAATGAAATGTAAATAAAGAGCCACTACTGAAGCAGAAACAACTGTCTGAAGTTAGTTAATTGAATGATAAGAAGCAAGTTAGCCAATAAATTGGCTTACAAAGTGGCTTACAACATATTAAAATAATGAAATCAACAATCCATATACATCAAAAATAAATATAAAACATAATAAAATAAGTCGTTTAAAACACCAATATATTGTCAAAGGTTTTCATGGCTGGAATCACTCGGTTGTTGTAGGTTTTTTCGGGCTATATGGCCATGTTCTAGAAGCATTCTCTCCTGACGTTTCACCTGCATCTATGGCAAACATCCTCAGAGGTTGTGAGGTCTGACCCGAAAAAACCTACAACAACCCAACAACAATATACATTCACATAAAAACACATTAAAGCACCCTTCGCTAGACGTGTGTCCAATCCGTTTCCACTTCTCCAAATGGCAGCCTTGCATCCTATTGCCATTTTGAGAGGGAGTGCGGAGGGGAATGGCCTTTGTGGCATGTTGTATGTGCAGCCCATGGCGAGGTTTGGGGGTAAAAATAAATGTGAATTTAATAAGTCCAGGAATCTTCAAAACAGACTCACCAGAGTGTGACAACCTTCGGGGTCATGGGCTTCAGGGGTACACGGTAAGCGCGGGCCAAGCCAAAGTCCGCTGCAAGAGAGAAGACAGGTTAAAGGGCATCCCAGCTGAGTGCCAAGTCCACTGGTCATCTTTGGGATGAAGGGAGCCATGTCTCACCCGTCTTCACGCAGCCTTTGTCGGTCATCAGCAAATTGGACACCTTCAGGTCCCTATCGGAGGAGAAAGAGGTGGTCCGGCACTCAGAAAAGACCCTTACCTCCCCAAATGCCCCAACTAATGGATACTTACAAAGAGTGTTTTACAACTTTAAGATGGGAGGATACCTGGATCTCACCTGTGGATGATGAAGTTGTCATGAAGATACTGCAGGCCCTTCAGTACCTGAAGGATGATACATTTTACCTGCAAAGAGGGAAGGGTCAGGTGAAGGAGGCAGCCTTAGCAAGGCATTTCTTGTGCATTTTCCCCATTTTCTTTTCTTCTAGGAGACCGTGGATGAGCACAACCCCCTTATCTGTGGACTCAGTATCCATAATTTCAATTACTCACACACCTAAAAATACTTGAAATATTTGTGAGCCTCTCTGGGTACTCCAGTGCGGGTCTATGGCATGCTTCAGCAACAATGTGTTGCTTTTCTATCCCCTAAGCACCATCTTTTTTTGATCAGCCTGTGTATCAAAGCCGTTTGTAGTGCATCTCTTATATTTGTGACTATAATACCAAATATACTCGAGAATAAGCCGACCAGAATATATGCCGAGGCACCTAATTTTACCACAAAAAAACTGGGAAAACTGAGTATAAGCCGAGGGTGGGAAATGCAGCTGCTACTGTTACATTTCAAAATAAAAATAGATACCAATAAAATTACATTAACTGAGGCATCAATAGATTAAATGGTATTGAATATTTACCATGTTTCAAAGAAAAACAGTAAACTAGCTCTGTCAGTTGAAAAGTAGGTCAACAAAAACAATATATAATAACAATATCTTCAAGTATATACAGTACTTATATTTATGTTTCTTATATTCATAACAAGTGCCATTTTGGGCGATTTCCGGTGCTTGGGTTCCCAATCCATCAACCCAGAGCGCATCTATACCAGGCATGGGCAAACTTCGTCCCTCCCTCCAAGTGTTTTGGACTTCATCTCCCACAATTCTTAACAGCCTCTCAGCTCAGGGTGCTTTGGATGTGGGGAGTGATGTCAATGAGTTTCAAGATGACAATGGTTTGGTCAGTGTCCAAAGTGTAGTTTCCCATGAGAATGTCCCTGAGGGGTGTGGGGATGATGGTGTGCTTTCTGAATTGTTACTCATAATAGAGAACATGAAAACAGCTCGGCACCTGGCCCAGCTGCAGAAATTAATGAGCAAATAGACAATGAGCAAATGGATAGACAAGAGGAGATCAGTCAAAACAGGAGAGCCAAACAGTGGCTTTGGCGTTCTGCCAGGCTCTGAGAGAAAAAGATAAGAAATTATCTGTTAAAGCGAAACCATTTTCTGAGCGCTAGAGACATAGTTAATGAGGAGATAAAAGTCCCAAGTACAGGATATGTAGTTAGATGAAGCATCGTTTGGAATCAAGTCAAGATCTCGTCCTTGTTTCATGGAAGCTTTGCTTGGAAAATTCATATTAAAGTGTTTTTGTTTCATGGTTTGGATTCTTGGATTTTATGCTTTTATATTCACGCCTTGGATTCACGTTTCCTGATTTTTTTTGCATTATCTTTGGGAAGTTTTGACTTTGTTTTTATGGACTTTGCTGGACTATTACCCTGGACTACTTTGCTCCTGCTTATCTTCCTATCTAATTGGATTTACCTATTTCTTTAAAGTGTTTTTTACTTTACTGCTTTTTAATTATCTTCAATAAAAGGACTGTTTCCCATCCAATGGTGTGGTGTTTAAAGCTAGAGGGCTTTTCCTGTCCTGCAGTGCAACAGTGCCATGGTTGCCTCTCTGCTGGGACCCACCTGAGCTTCTGAAAAAGGGGCCTGCATGTTCTCCAAGAGGCTGGCCAGATCTTGCTCGCAGTAGCCCATCACCAGAAAAATGCTGTAAGGAAAAACATAGAAGGAATACATTTGGAGAGGGTGGAGGCTAAGGTCAATATACCCCAGAGTCTTGTTCTATCCTACTTCCAATTTTCCTTCCATGCTTCTTTTAATGCAGCCAGCTTCATACCCTTTGGGCACCTGGATATGCAATTGCAAGTATGGCCAGGTCTGGAGACAGGTGAGGGCACCGCCTCATTGCAAATATAAGGGGACTTTTTTTTGGAGGGGGGATCCCATTCATACCTCTCCAGGTGGTTCCCCACCACCACCTCCTTCAGCTCCACGATGTTGGGATGCTGCAGTTTCAAGAGCAATGTGATCTCCCTCAGGCTGCTGATGGGGATCCCTGCCGGGGGACAAAAACAACTCCCCGTCAATGGGTTTTGTTATCCAGGGTGTGCTGGGATGGATTCCTCTCAAGGATCGAGCGAAGCTGCCAACTTTGGGAACGTGCACCAAACAAAAGGGGGTGGCCACATTGACCCCCCTTGGTACAGATTCTCGTCCACTCACCGTCTTTCTCTTTATCCATCCGCACCTTCTTCAGGGCCACAATCTCGTCCGTCTGGGTGTCCCGAGCACGGTCTAAAAATGGAGTAGAATTAAAAACCTTATTTTTGGTCAATCAACTTCCTCCACCAAGGATGTGTCTATATCAGGGGTCGCAAAAATACACCAACTCCCAAGATAATTTACCCGGACTCGGATCTAAACTTTAGACTACCGTCACCCTCTTCTTGCTCCTTAACTCTGCTTTCCTTTCCTCTCCTCTATTTCCCCCCAAAACTGAAGGATCCTGTCAGAAATATTAAAAATTAACTACATATTTTTAATTACAAAAATATGAGTCAAGGACTGAAAGGGATACAATGACTCAGCAAAGACTGCAGTTCAATATAAGCAGGTGTGCCTGTAGCTTAACAGGCCTCAATGTTAGTTTGCCTCAGTCTGAGAAAGTTCTCAGTGTGAGAAGGCCTCAGTGGGAGAAAGGCCTCAGTGTGAGGTAGGCACCAGTGTTAGTTCGCTTCAGCCTGAGAGTCCTCAGTGTTAGAAGGCCTCAGTGGGAGAAAGGCCTCAGTGTGAGGTAGGCATCAGTGTTAGTTCGCCTCAGTCTGAGAGTCCTCAGTGTGAGAAGGCTTCAGTGGGAGAAAGGCTTCTGTGTGAGGTAGGCATCAGTGTTAGTTCGCCTCAGGCTTGAGAGTCCTCAGTGTGAGAAGGCCTCAGTGGGAGAAAGGCCTCTGTGAGGTAGGCATCAGTGTTAGTTCACCTCAGTCTTGAGAGTCCTCAGAGTGAGAAGGCCTCAGTGGGAGAAAGGCCTCTGTGTGAGGTAGGCATCAGTGTTAGTTCACTCAGTCTTGAGAGTCCTCAGTGTGAGAAGGCCTCAGTGGGAGAAAGGCCTCTGTGTGAGGTAGGCATCAGTGTTAGTTTGCCTCAGTCTGAGAGTCTTCAGCGTGAGAAGGCCTCAGTGGGAAAAAGGTCTCAATGGGAAAAAGGCCCCAGTGTTAGTATGCCTCAGAGAAGGCCTCAGTGTGAGAGAAGCCCCAGGTTGAAGGCCATCGTGTGTAAAGCTACTGTGTGAAGCTCCAGTGTGAAGGTTGGTGTGTGTAAAAAGCTACTGTGTGAAGCTTCTGTGTAAGCTCAGTGTGAGAAGAGTTTCTGTGTGAGTGAAGCTGTTTATCTGCATGAGAAAGAAGCCTAGTGTGGAAGCAAAGAAGGAAGTATAAAGAACTTTGTGTTATAGAAATCTTCTTCTTGTAAACAGGCACACAACAAACAACAACAACAAATAATGATAGTCTGAGCCTTAACAATCTGAGGAACCGTGAACAGGTGCTCCGAGTCTGAAATGTCTTGAACAACAAGAACAAGAACAAGAACTAATTATAGTTTGGCCCTCAACAGCTTGAGGAACCGTGAACTGGCCCTCTGATTAAAAAGTTTGAGGACCTCTGGTCTATACTGTTGAAATGAGTAGTTTGTCCCCTACTTGACCTGCCATGGTTCAATACTATGGGATCCTGGGGTGTTTGGTTTTAAAAGGGCTTGAGCGTTCTCTGCCCAAGAGTGATGGTACTACATCAAACTACAACTCCCAAGTAGGGCCATTCTGAAGTGTAGATGCAGACCAGGATTCATGAGAGAGATCTACTGCATGGTCAGGGGATGGACTGGTCGAGGCATGTGCAAACTTTGGCCTTGTGGGTGTTTTGGACTTCAACTCCCACCATTCCTAACAGCCTCAGGCCCCTTCCTTTTCCTCCTCAGCCGCTTAAGCGGCTGAGGAGGAAAAGGAAAGGGCCTGAGGCTGTTAGGAATGGTGGGAGTTGAAGTCCAAAACACCCACAAGGCCAAAGTTTGCACATGCCTCGACTAGAGGATCTTAGGTTTTCCCTATAGTTTTCCTTGCGCCTGCTTTGTGTCACTCACACACAATGCCATAAGTCCCTTCTCCGATCCGGTTGAGTTTCTCAAACTCCTTGACGCTCCGGCATCTTCCTAGCTGAAACAACAACAACAACAACAACAACGGAGATTTATAAATAATCAAGGGTGTATCTTAGGGCCTCATCACACTAGAGAAGTGTTTCTCAACCTTCCTAATGCTGCGACCCCTTAATACAGTTCCTCGTGTGGTGGTGACCCCCAATCATAACATTATTTTCGTTGCAACTTCATCACTGTCATTTTGCTACTGTTATGAATCATCATGTAAATATCTGATTTGTAGGATGTATTTTCATTCACTGGAGCAAATTTGGTACAAATACCCAATAGGTCCAAATATGAATATTGTTGGGGTTGGAGGGGGGGTTGATTTTGTCATTTGGGAGTTGTCGTTGCTGGGATTTATAGTTCACCTACAATCAAGGAGCATTCTGAACTCCGCCAACGATGGAATTGAACCAAACTTGGCCCACAGAACTCCCATGACCAACAGAAAATACTGGAAGGGTTTAGTGGGCATTGACTTTGAATTTGGGAGTTGTAGTTCACCTACATCCAGAGAGCACTGCGGACTCAAGCAATGATGGATCTGGACCAAAATTGGCATGCATACTCAATTTGACCAAATATGCACACTGGTGGAGTTTAGGGAACATATGAACTTGACATTTGGGAGTTGTAGTTACTGGGATTTATAGTTTACCTACTTCATAACTGTAATTTTGCTATTGTTATGAATAGTAATTTAAATATCTGATATGCAGGACGTATTTTCATTCACTATACCAATTGGGCACAAAACTCCAATATGCCCAAATTTCAATATTGGTGGGGTTTGGGGGGGATCGATTTTGCCATTTGGTAGTTGTAGTTACTGGGATTTATAGTTCACCTACAATCAAAGAGAATTCCGAACTCCATCAAAGATGGAATTGAACCAAACTTGGCACACAGAACTCTCACGACCAAAAGAAAATACTGGAAGGGTTTGGTGGGCATTGATGTTGAGTTTGAGAGTTGTAGTTCATCTAATCCAGAGAGCACTGTGGACTCAAAACAATGATGGATCTGGACCAAAATTGGCACACATACTCAACATGCCCAAATATGAACACTGGTGGAGTTTGGGGGAAATAAGAACTTGACATTTGGGAGTTGTAGTTGCTGGGATTTATAGTTCACCTACAATCAGAGCGCATTCTGGACCCCACCAATGACAAAATCTGGCCAAACTTCCCACACGGAACATCCACAACCAACAGAAAATACTGGAAGGGTTTGGTGTGCATTGATCTTGAGTTTGCGAGCTGTAGTTCACCTACATCCAGAGAGCACTGTGGACTCAAACAATGATGAATCTGGACCAAAATTGGCATGCATACTCAATATGCCCAAATGTGAACACTGGTGGAGTTTGGGGAAAATAGACCTTGACATTTGGGAGTTGTCGTTGGCTGGGATTTATAGTTCCCCTACAATCAAAGAGCATTCTGAACCCCACCAATGATAGAATTGGGCCAAACTTCCCACACAGAACCCCCCTCACCAACAGAAAATACTGGAAGGGTTTGGTGGGCATTGACCTTGAGTTTGGGAGTTGTAGTTCACCTACATCCAGAGAGCACTGTGGATTCAAACAATGATAGATCTGGACCAAACTTGGCATGAATACTCAATATGCCCAAATGTGAACACTGGTTTGGGGAAAACAGACCAGAGTTGTAGTTGCTGGGATTTATAGTTCACCTACAATCAAACAGCATTCTGAACCCCACCAATGATAGAATTGGGCCAAACTTCCCCCACACAGAACACCCACGGCCAACAGAAAATACTGTTGGCGACCCTCAGGTTGAGAAACACTGAGAATTCATCCACTTTAAATCTAGTTTCATCCTCCTGGAGTTTGCAGTTTAGGGAGGAGGAGCCTTGCACAGCCTCCCCAAACTACAAACCCCAGAATTCTGCAGGAGGCAGAAACCGGATTTAAAGTGGATCCATTCTCTAGCGTGATGAAGCGGTTAGGGATGTATCTCTGCAAAACTAAAAATCCCAGAATTGCAATCTTTTAAGAAATGTATCTATTTGTAACTGAAAATGCAAACAAAAACATAAATAGAACCCTAGCACAATAACCAATGCATATTTCCTTCCCCCACCCCCACCCTGCTTTGCAAAGTGGCCTTGCAAAGAGTTGTAGTTCTCCCCCTGCCCTTGCACTCACCCGATGCGCAGGAGGAACGGTGAAGAACCCGTCTCCACGGAGTTGCTTCAGCCGCAGTGTTTCAGCCTCCAGATCCGCGGCTTCAGCCATTGCAGCCTTCCTCCTTCTCCTCTTTTTGGGTTGTAGTGTCCCACTAGCGCCCCTGCTGTTCGTTAGGAGTATGACACCCCCTCTATCAGTTGCAGACCATACACAGGGTTGTTGTAGCTTTTTTCGGGCTATATTGCCATGTTCTAGAGGCATTCTCTCCTGACGTCTCGCCTGCATCTATGGGAAGCATCCTCAGAGGTGGTGAGGTCTGTTGGAACTAGGAAAAAGGGTTTATATATCTGTGGAATGACCAGGGTGGGGCAAAGAACTCTTGTCTGCTGGAGCTAGGTGTGAATGTTTCAACTGACCACCTTGATTAGCATTTGGTGGCCTGGCAGTGCCTGGGGCAATCTTTTGTTGAGAGGTGATTAGATGTCCCAGATTGTTTCCTCTCTGTTGTTTTGCTGTTGTAATGTTAGAGTTTTTTTTAAATACTGGTAGCCAGATTTTGTTCTTTTTCATGGTTTCCTCTTTTCTGCTGAAATTGTCCACATGCTTGTGGATTTCAATGGCTTCTCTGTGTAGTCTGACATGGTGGTTGTGAGAGTGGTCCAGCATTTCTGTGTTCTCGAATAAAATGCTGTGTCCAGTTGAAACATTCACATCTAGCTCCAGCAGACAAGAGTCCTTTGTCCCACCCTCGTCATTCCACAGATATATAAACCCTTTTTCCTAGTTCCAACAAACCCCACAACCTCTAAGAATGCTTGCCATAGATGCAGGCAAAACGTCAGAAGGGAATGCCTCTAGAACATGGCCATATAGCCCGAAAAACATACAACCCATACACAGTTTATTATAGCTGGTGCCTTGCAAAATCCATTAAAACATATTCAAAGCAAACCCCCCCCCCCCCGACTTGATGTTAAAATAATGCAGTTTGAACTGCCATCAGTCTGTGATATGGAATCAAAGAAGTTATAGTTTTACAAGTGCTTTCGTCGCACCGGCCCAAAGTGTGAAACTACAACCCCTGGGATTCCATAACACCGAACCATGGCAGTTCAAGTATCTATATATAAGTGTGTATCTATCTGTGGGTTAAACCGCTGAGTTGGAGCCCCCAGTGGCGCAGTGGGTTAAACCCCTGTGCCGGCAGAACTGAAGACCGACAGGTCGCAGGTTCGAATCCGCGCTCCCTCTATCAGCTCCAGCTTCTCATGCAGGGACATGGGAGAAGCCTCCCACAAGGATGATAAAAACATTAAATCATCCAGGCGTCCCCTGGGCAACGTCCTTGCAGACGGCCAATTCTCTCACACCAGGAGTCACTCCTGACACGACCAAAAAAACAAACAAACCGCTGAGTTGCTGACTGAAAGGTCGGCGGTTTGAATCTGGGGACTGGCGTGAGCTCCTGCTGTTAGCCTCAGCTCCTTTATCAACCTAGCAGTTCAAAAACGTGTAGATCAATAGGTATCATTCTGGAAGGAAGGTAACAGAGCTCCATGCAGTCATGCCAGTGGTCACAGGACCTTGGAGGTTTTTTTTTTTTTTGTCGTGTCAGGAGCGACCTGAGAAACTGCAAGTCACTTCTGGTGTGAGAGAATTGGCCGTCTGCAAGGACGTTGCTCAGGGGACACCTGGATGATTTGATGTTTTTGTCATCCTTGTGGGAGGCTTCTCTCATGTCCCCACATGAGGAGCTGGAGCTGATAGAGGGAGCTCATCCGCCTCTCCCCAGATTCGAACCTGCGACCTGTTGGTCTTCAGTCCTGCCGGCACAGAGGTTTAACCCACTGCGCCACCGGGGGCTCCAGTAGACACCTTGGAGGTGTCTACGGACAACACCGGCTCTTCAGCTTGGAGATAAGCGCCACCACCCCGAGTTGGATTCGACTAGACCAGTGGTTCTCAACCTGGGGTCCCCAGATGTTTTTGGCCTTCAACTTCCAGAAATCCTAACAGTTGGTAAATTGGCTGGGATTTCTGGGAATTGAGAACCACTGGACTAGACTTAATGTCAAAGGGAAACTTTTACTTATATCTGTGTGAGTGTTGGAGTTCAGCCTGTGATTGTGTTTCAGGATCAGGGTGCTTTGGATGTGGGAAGTGATGCCAATGAATTCCAAGATGGCAATGGTTTGGTCAATGATACTGCTGCAGAGAAGGACCAGGAGACTTCTGTGTAAAGTGTAGTTTTTCATGAGAATGTCCCTGAAGGGTGTGGGGATGATAGTGTACTCTGGGAACCAGAGCGTTCCCAGATTTGGGGCTTGAAAATAACTGGGCACCTGGCCCAGCTGCGAGACTTAATGAGCAAATAGATAGGCGAGAGGAAATTAGTCAAAACAGACAGGCCGAACAGTGCCTTCGGCGATCTGCCAGGCTTCGACAGAAAAAGATAAGGGGAAACAAATTCCTGAGTACGTGGAATAGCTTAAAGAGGGGATAAAACTTCCATGTATGGGAAATATAGTCAGATGAAGCATCATTGTAATCAAGTGTAGTTCTTGTCCTTTGTTTCATGGAAGCTTTGCTTGGAAGATTCTTGTTTAAGTACTGTATTTCTTGTTCATTATTTGGACTCTTGGAGTGTATGAATGCCTACTCATGCCTTGGATTAATGTTTCATGTTTTCCTGAATTATATTAGAGAAGTGTGGATTTTGTTTTATGGACTTTGCTGAACTTTACCCTGGATTATTTTTGCTCCTGCTTATCTTCTTACCTAATTGGATTTACCTATTTCTTTTAACTGCTTTTTACTTGCTGCTTTCTAATTATCTTCAATAAAAGGATTGTTTTCCATTCAATGGTGTGGTGTTTTAAAATCGGAGGGCTTTTCCTGTTCTGGAGTGAAACAGTGAGGGGTCAAACTGCATGAATTCTTTAACCTTAAGCACCATGGAGGTGCAATTGTAAGCTGCCTTGAGTCCCCCCTCGGGGTAGAGAAAGGCAGAATGTAAATAAGGTAAATAAATAAATAATTAAAATTTTACAATATAGATGCACCCCAAGGTCTCCCTTTTCTCCTGTTAGAAATATTAAAAATTAACTAGGTATTTTTAATTACACTGCAAGGGTTAAACAGATGCAATGACTCAGCAAAAGCTTCAGTTCTATATATGTAGGTGTGCCTGTAGCTTAGTTTATCTCAGTGTTAGTTTGCTGTTAGTCTGAGGTAAACCTCAGTGGGAGAAAAGTCTCAGTCTATGAGAAGGTCTCACAGTGTGAGGTAGGCCTTACTTTGTGAGAGAAGCGCTCTGTGTGAGGTAGACCTTTGTCTATGAGAAGGCCAAGTGTGAGAAGGCCTGGTGTGAGAAACTTTGGTGAAAGAAGCTCTAGATTCAAGGCCTTGTGTGTAAAGTCTCATGTCTAAAGCTGCAGTATAAATTCTGAGAGGAGGCTCTATGAGAGTAAAGTTGTTTATCTGCATGAGAAAGAAGCCAACATGGAAGCAAAGAAGGAAGTATAAAGAACTTTATTTGTGTTATGGAAATGACTCAGCAAAAGATGCAGTTCAATACAAGCAGGTGTGCCTATAGCTTAGTAGCCATCAGTCTGAGGGAGCCCTCAGTGTTAGTTTGCCTCAATCTGTGAGAAGTCTCTGTGGAAGAAGGGCCTCAGTGTGTTAGTAGGGGAGAAAGGCCTCACTGTGAGGTAGACCTCGGTGTGTGAGGGGCCTGGTGTGAGAAGACTTTGGTGAGAGAAGCCCCAGGTTGAAGGCCTTGTGTGTGAAAGCTGCTGAATGTAAAAAGCCTCTGTGTAAGTTCGGTGTGAGAGGAAGCTCAGTGAGAGCAAAGTTGTTTATCTGAAGGCCATCCTGTGTAAAGCTACTGTGTGAAGCTCCAGTGTGAAGGCTGCTGTGTGTGAAGCTTCTGTGAAAGTTCAGTGTGAGAAGAGGCTCTGTGAGAGTGAAGCTGTTTATCGGCATGAGAAAGAAGCCCAGTGTGGAAGCAAAGAAGGAAGTATAAAGAACTTTATTTGTATTATGGAAATCTTCTTCTAGTAAATAGTGCAACCATATTATTTTGCTAAAAAGAAAAGCCTCCTATGGAAGAGATAACAGTCTGTGTGTTTTTGTTCTTTTTATCACTTTGGACTACTGGTGATGGGTCATGATGCTGCTAATAAGTTACTCTGCTATATATTTATGAGGAGGGTATTTTGTTAATAAGCCCACTTGCCCAACATTGCCTTCCCTTTGCCCAGCCTTACTGCAGCAGAGAGAGTCAACTGGAATCAACTGGGACTGACTGGGGAACATTAACCAAACATATTTATTTGGAAGCGCATCATCCAGTTCCTCCCTTCTGCACCCGCCGGAGATATCGGGGAATGTGAAACCACCCAAGGACCCCCTTGGTAATAGATTTCCCATTTATTGAGGGATGGGGTCCAGGACCAAGTGGATTGATGACCTTGGCGAGTCCCTCACAGATCTTGCTCGCTGTCCCTGTTCCTGTAGGCGTCCACGGTGCTGGGCCTGGAGTGGACAGTGTAGGGTCCGTAGTCCTCGCTGTCACGGATGGTCTTGGTCTCGGGGAGGACGTCCGAGAGGCTGCTGATGATCAGCTCCTCCGAGGGCCCCGTCACGATGATCTTGGGGATCGGGCGCTTCTTCCTGCCCACTTTCTCAAAAGAGGCTGCAAGAGGGGTGGCAAAAGAGGGGGGCTGCTGATGTGGGGGCTCCCTCCCATCTCTCTCTCTCTCTCCCTTAAATACAAAACAACCCCATATCTGCAAGCCAGTCTCCACAGTTCCCTTGATTCACATCCTACAAGCTCTCTACGCATTTTCTAGGCCAGGCATGGGCAAACTTTGGTCCTCCAGGTGTTGTTGTTGTTGTTGTTATTATTATTATTATTATTACTATTATTATTATTATTATTATCTTTATTTATACCCCGCTAACATCTCCCGAAGGACTTGGTGCAGCTTACAAAAGGCCCTCAATAAAACACAGCATAACAAATACAACAATAAAACTCATAAAGCAAAATAAAAAATTAAAGCAATAACAATAAACATTAAAAACAATAACACCACGACGCATTTAAAACTAAGACCGGGCCAAATGTAATGAATAAAATTTAAAAGTTTTGGACTTCAACTCCCACAATTCCTAACAGCCTGGGAATGCACCCCCTGCAGATGCGAGGCTCATGCTGTACATCCAAAATTACACAAAATATAGATCTATGGGAATATAGATACATATATAGAGAGAGAACCATATAGATCCATATACATGAATATGATATATACAATGGCATATACATATAGAGACAGTTTTCAGTAGATAGATACACAAGTAGGTATTACAATATCTAATTGCAATATTACTAATAATTTTACAATATAATGGTGTAGTACAGTATAGTAATATATAATAACTATACTAATAATTTAATATATTGTGTGTGTGTGTGTGTGTGTGTGTGTAGTAAGCCACTCTGAGTCCCCTTTGGGGTGAGAAGGGCAGCATATAAATGTTGTAAATAAATAAATATGTATAAATATGGATACCCATACGTATGCATGTATATATACTGTTACATATGTGCAAACACAGATATAGATACAGATAGGGATGGGTGGATGCATAAATCGGATTCAAATACATGCATAGGTAAATATGCTGCAACATATATGCAAACACAGATATAGATACAGATATGGATGGGTGGATGAACAGACAGATGCATACATGAATGTATAAATATATTTATACGTATGTAAACTGTTACATATATGCAAACAGAGATATAAATAGAGATATGCATGGCTGGATCTTTTTTTCCTACCTCTTTTCTTTCTTACTTTATCTTTGTCTTTCTTTCTCCCCTCCTAACTCCCTTCATTTTTGGAGGAAGCAAGAATGGAGTGAAAAGGATCACTCAGTTTTGGGGGAAGATAGAGAGAGGTAAGCTAAGCTGGGTGATAGCTAGATGATAGCTATATATACACACACCTATACATAAATAGGATGCAAAGACATGCATACACACACACACATATACAGATATGTCATTACATATATGCAAACACAGCTATAGATACAGGTATAGATGGAGTCATAGAGGATGGAGCAACAGCACCCCCCTGGATACAAGCACAACCTCCAAGGCGCCAAAAAGCTGGACGTCAACACAACATACCTAGAGAGAGACACAAACACACACACATATATACACACAATTCTGCAGTCGGGCATGTGCATGCTGCCCCTTGGTGCTCTCCTCGCTTTCTCCAGGGGAGGGGATCTTCTTCACAGCTCGGGATGTGGAGGGCTGGCCAGTGGAGTGCGCATGGGATGGCTCCTGGACACTGGGCGCCTTGGGCTTGCTGATCTCTGCGTTGCGATGCATGTGAGGAGCTGTGGAAGAGCCAAAAGAATGAGGAGAGAAGCAAATATCTCCCCTATGATAAAGATCATCTATACTGGCCATTGGAGTGGCCCTTCTCTGGACTCCTTGGTCATCTCCTGCTTGAATTGCTTCCCCCAAAACAGGTCACAAAATGATTCCAAGTGTTGTAGCTTGGGATACAATCACTTTGCTCAGAACACCACACCACACCAAAGCTGAAGATTTTGCAGCTTTTTGAAGAAAAAACAAAGTCTTTAACATAAAAGTTTCAAAAGTTCAATGGCAAAAGCAGAGTTTTAAATGCAAAAGCAAAGTTTCCAAAGTTCAATGGCAAACAACATGAATCATAATCCATTGATCAAACAAGATTCCATGGCAGCATGACAGAGTCCCAGGAAGCCAAGAACAAGGCAAAGTCCCAAGAAGCCAAAAGCATTGCCTAAAAACCAAGGCAATCCAGAGAAGTTACCAGGGTGCTTGCAGAAGTTGCACTGACAAAGAGTTGACTTCAAACAGCTCGTTTAATATATTTTCCCAGCATGAACGCATTCCTTTGACCTCTAACCTCTCTC